CTTCATTCCTCCCCTCCCGCTACCTTCTTCTTCTTCTTTTTTTTTCTTAACATATCTTGCATTATTTGTCTCAGAGGTACAGATCTGAGATTCAACAGTCCTGCACAATTCACAGCGCTTAACAGAGCTTCTGACACCATTCTTGCCAGTGACCTCCAATCGCCAGGCCCAAAGGATGCTTCCTGTCCTCTCTTTTGGGCCCTCTTCTGCATTCGACATCCCGGGCCACGATACTTTTTTTCCTTTGTCTGTACAATTAAATGTGTGATATCCATGTGTGTGTCACAACAGCAAAAATCAAGGCCCGCATTTCCCCTTCTTGAAGCCCGCCCCTCGCCTGACTTCTGGAACCTTCTCTCCTGCTACTCGTCCTCTGTGACCTTCAGAGAGGCTTCTTTGCCCAGCAGCCCCTTCATTCTCTCTTCGCTTTCCATACACACCCTGATGCTCCCACCTCCAAGGCTTTGCTCACGCTGTGCCCCATCCTGGACTTCCCTTCCTGACCCCACCTCACCTCCCCTGCCTTCCAAGGCTTTGCTCACGCTGTGCCCCATCCTGGACTTCCCTTCCTGACCCCACCTCACCTCCCCTGCCTCCTCGCCAGTCCTCACCTCTCTGTTCCTCTTGCCCCCGCAGGCAGGCTCAGGTGCTTCTCCTCTGTGTCCGCAGCGCTGTGGACACAGCCCTTGCTTTTCCCTACACCTCTGTCGCATCCATACTCTGTGCATCACTTCCCACCCAAACTGCGAGTCCCCGGAGAGATGGTTCTGCACTTTGAATCCGAATTCTTTTTAAGATTTTATTTTTAAGGAATCTCTCCACCCAACATGGGGCTCGAACCCACAACTTGGAGATCAAGAGTCGTGTGCTCTACCTACTGAGCCAGCCAGGCGCCCCCTGTATCTGAGTTTTGGGTGTCCCGCCATTAACACAATAAATAGTGTGTGTGCATGCATGCGTGTGTGTGTGTGTGCGTGCAGACAGTGAATCCGTGTGGCACTGGTGGGCTGTCAGGGTGCAGCAGGTGTGGAATCAGGGGCCATGTGGGGTGGTAGAGAGTCCACAGCCTGGCTGGTCCCTCCGCTTGCTAGCTCTGTGGTCATGGGCACCTGGAAAAGAGGCATGATGATCTTCACCTGCCTTAGGGGTTTCATGAGGTTTCAAGTATGGTAAAGACATGGGGGGGGGGGCAGGGCAAGGAGGTAGGCATACAGATGATTCCAGAGCAATTCCAGAGCAGTGGCTGGGATGCTGAATGACAGCCCAGCTTTGCCGCTTGTGACCTGGGGCAAGTCAGCGCACATCTCCGAGCCTTAGTGTCCAGGGTCCTAATGGAGGCTAATGAGACCCATCCCCTGGTGCTGCTGGGGGGTTAAATGAGGTCACGTAGGTCAAGGGCCTTTCTCAGAACGTCTAGTGCAGAGTAAGGTCCCAACAAAAGGGACTCTTGAGCCTCCTCCTGCACCAGATCTCATTCATCCAAAGATCCGGCCCGCATTCCCCCAGCAAACGTCTGCGACAGAGCTGGACGTCGGCACGTGTCCCGGGCTTCCGCTAGGATCTCCCTGCTAGTGCAAGTCTAATGACTATTTCTGTGAGTCCCCATTCTGTGTTCTTTTTTTTTATTGTTATGTTAGTCACCATACATTATATCATTCGTTTTTGATGTAGTGTTCCATGATTCATTGTTTGCGTATAACACCCAGTGCTCATTGCAGTAATGCCCTCCTTAATACCCATCACCAGGCTAACCCATCCCCCCACCCCCCTCCCCTCTAGAACCCTCAGTTTGTTTCCCGTAGTCCATAGTCTTTCATGGTTCTTCTCCCACTCTGATTTCCCCCTCTTCATTTTTCCGTTCCTTCTCCTGATGCCCTCCATGCTATTCCTTATGTTCCACAAATAAGTGAAACCATATGATAATTGACTTTCTCTGCTTGACTTATTTCACTT